AAAGCGGTCCAATATTTAGAGGTGATGGGTTTAGGTCCATTGTAAGCTCATGCTCCATTACCTCTATCGGTTTCTCGGGTTCAACTTCCTTATTCTTCCATACCTCATTTATCACTTCGGGGATTGGTGGATCATCATTGTCTATTGGGAGCTCAAGTTCGTCATCTTCAAGCTCGCTCCTTTCATTGAATGCCTCACCTTGCTCTTCCATATTGGTAGGCAATGCTTCTGATGGACTATTCCTCAACTCATCAACCATCAGCTCCACTTGGATTTGCAGCCTGCGTATTGATTCATCAGTTCTCGCCATAAAGTCTATCATAGTCTGTTCAAGGCTAAAAACTTCCAATAAGTGCGTTTGTTCTGGCATCCATGGTTGATTGTACTCTTGTTGAGGTTGTGACGGGAATTCTGGTGGGAATGCATGCTCATACGGGTGGAATATACTTTCAGGTTGAAGCTCTCCCCACAGGTAATTCGAATGATCCCTCCAATCTTGGTTGTATGGATTTGAATAAGGGTTGAATTCTTGTTGGTTCCCTTGTTGACCTGGATAATAAAAAGATGAAGGATTAGATGGACAATATTCCAATGAATGACAAATATCACCACAATATAAACAACATAATTGATTCACAGGAGCTATGGGAATGTTACTTACCATTGGAAGATTATACATAAATTGAGACTCCATTTCCAACACTCATGTTTGTTGTTGGTTCAATACAATTAAGATCTTCTTTATTTTTTTATTTCCTTCTCTTTTCTTTTTTTTTTTTAGTTTTTTTTTCTTAACCTCTATTCTCGCCTTAACCTCCTCAGGGACTCCTGCAAGAAAGCCTTTATGCAAAAAAAAATTGGCCCGCTAAGGTTAGATATAACAATTAATCTCAAGGAACAGAGGCATGCAACAATCACACTATGAAACAATTCACTTGAAAAAAAATATGATTTTGAAAAATAAGTCCCCGACAACGGCGCCAAAAACTTGTTGGGATTTTCTCTACCTTTAAAAAGATTAGAGACTCGTGCAAGCGCACACGGTCACAA